TGGTTCCTGAGATGTACCAGTTGAAGGTAAAATTCTAGATCACAGAGATACTGGAAGTTAGGGTATCTTTTTAAAAATATTTTGTTTAGGGGTTGGAGAGATGGCTTAGTGGTCAAGAGCACTGACTGCTCTTGTTAATTTTTTTTTAAGTATTTTATTTATTTTTTTATTTTATGTGTATGAGTGTATTGTCTACATATGTGTAAATGCACCCGTGTCATGCAATGCCCTCTGAGGTTAGGAGAGGACGTTGGGTCCCCTGGAACTAGAATTATGGACAGTTGTTAGCTGCCATGTGGGTGCTAGGAATCAAACCTGGGTCCTCTGTAAGTGCAGTCAGTGCTCTTAACTGATGAGCCATCTCTCTAGTCTCAAAGTTAGGATATCTTCATTGTAAACAAAAGTTATTCTATTGTTTGTTGCATTTACTTATTTATTTATTTATTTATTGTGTGTGTGTGTGTGTGTGTGTGTGTGTGTGTGTGTGTGTACGTACTCTTGAACTGTGGAAGTCTGAAAACAACTTGGGGAGTTGGTTTTCTCCTTCCAGTATGTGGGATCCAGGAATTGAGCTCAGATCCTCAAGACTTGGCAGCAAGGGCCCTTACCTACAGAGCCATCTTGCCCACTCAAAAGTTAATCATTTTGTCGGTGAGAGTGTCAGAAAATATATGGGAGGAGAAGTAGTGCCGTACCCACATTAAACCTTTCCCCTACTTCAGCCATCTTTTCCCACTTGCTGCGAGGCTCTAAACTGAGGCCTCTGCTGTGCTCCATTGACCAACTTGCTCCAATTTAAAGATCAGCTTTGGTTTGCTCATATGACAGAACCTGAGCTGGAATATAATAATTTATGCCATATACATACTTATTTTATTTATGTGTATGTGCACATGAATTCAGGTGCCCTCAGAAGCCAGAAAAGGGCATCAGATCTGCTGGAGCTGGAGTTATAGGCACTTGTAAGCCACCCCACCATGTGTCCTGGGAACTGAATTCAGGTCCTGTGCAACCTATGAACCATCTTGCTAGCCCTGCATAATTTCAGTAAAGCTAGTAACCACCCACCAGGAGCTTTCACTCAAGTGGTAAAGTAGATGAGTCAAAAGCTAGGGCTGCCTGGTATGTTAATGTGGTGGCAAGAGACTCAGGAATTCCAGATCGGCCTTTTCTGCCTACATGAAATACACACGCCTTTAAACCCTAGCACTCTGGAGGCAGAGGCAGGCAGATCTCTATGAGATCAAGGTCAGGGAGTTCCAGGCCGACTGAGACTACAGGGGGGCTACAGGGAGACTGTCTCAAAAGTAAATAAATACTGACAAAACTACTGCCAAGCTTCAACAATGCTGTGAAATTTATTCCTGTTGATGAATGTGAGTTTAGAATTCACTCCCTTTCCAAATTCTCCAACCTATACAAAGTTTTTCAGTGTAATCATGTTACTTTTTAAATTTTATTTATATTTTTAATTTTTTTATTTATTTTTATTTTATATGTATGACTGTATTACCTGCATGTGTATAAGTGTACCCGTGTCATGCATATCCTTGGAGGACAGAAGAGGGTGCCAGATCCCCTGAAATAGAGTTATAGAAGATTGTTAGCTGCCATGTGGGTGCTGGGATTTGAATTCTGGTCTTCTGCAAGAACAGCCAGTGCTCTTAATTGCTGAACCATCTCTCCAGCCCCTCATGTTACTGTTTTTTTGTTTGTTTGTTTTGGTCTTTTTGAGACAGGGTCTCCCTCTAGCCCCAGTTGTCCTGGAACTCACTATGTGGACCAGGCTGGCCTTGAATTTACAGAGATCCGCCCCTGCCGAGTGCTGGGATTAAAGGCATGTGCCACCACACCCAGCCTATTTACCTTTACATCATTTAACCTCTAGCTTATAAATTAATTCCAGTGAACTCTTCATTCATTTAAAAATATTTATTAACCATCAAAAAAATGAACAAACCATGGGTTTGAATGCTGAGTTGACACTCTACTTTCTCAATTTAGTTCAGTCTTCATCTTGGGCATCATTTCAGCGCACAAGGAGGAGAGGAGACTATTCTGTTAATTATTTTTTTGCAAATACTCCCACAAATAATTCAGTCAATCACAATGAAATGACAGTTGCATATATTGTACACCAGTCTAAAGGTAATGCTAATACATTTTTAAGTTAAAAAAATAAATAAATGGGAGCTGGGAAGATAGCTCAGTGGTTAAGAGCACTGGCTGCTCTTGCAGAGGACCGAGATTCAGTTCCCAGCACCCACATGACAGCTAATAACCACTCCAGTTTCAGGAGATCCCATGCCTTCTGGCCTCTGTGGGCATTTCATGCATGTGGTTTACTTACATACATACACACAAAACACTCATATACATAAAATAAAATAAATTAAATTTTTCTAAATAAAAAAATAAAATTTTATTCTATGTTGAATTTTATTTCCATCTAGTATACAATTGACTAAAATCATAATATTACATGTTTTTGATAAATATTCTTCAACATGAAAGTAAATGTTAATGAAAATACATCCCTTGATGGGGCTGGAGAGATGACTCAGTGCTTAAGAGCACTGGCTGCTCTTGTAGAGGACTTGGATTTGATTCCCAGCACCCACATGGCAGCTAACAACTGTCTTATTGACACCCTCTTCTGACCTCCACAGGCATTGCATGCACATGGTATACTTAAATACATTGAGGCAATACACTCATACACATGAAATAAAAATAATAAATAATAACATGAACAAAAAAAAGAAAATACATCCCTTGGGCTGGAGAGATGGCTTAGCAGTGAAGAGCACTGGCTGCTCTTGCAGAAGACCACAACAGAAATACATCCCTTACTGAAATAATTGTGGTTCTTTTTTTTTTTTTATCAGTTTGTTCATGAATATTGGATGTTACTTAAAGTCATGATGTGGCTGGGTATGGTAGCACATGCTTGTAATCCCAACATTCAGAAGGCTTAGGTGGAAAATAGAGAATGTAAGGCCATCCTGGGCTACACAGTGATTTCAGAGCCAACATGGACTATCAAGACCAGACTGGTCTACCTATCAAGTTCCAGGTCAGCCATGTCTATTTAGTGAGTGCCAGGATTTGTTAAGGTTCACATCAGTACTACATCTGTGTTTGTGTTTATGTTGGTTTTGGTTTTGGTTCTTCAAGACAAGGTCCCCCAGCTGGCCTGTAACTCAAGACCAAACTGGTGCCTCAGTCTCATAGAGATCTACCTGCCTCTGCCTTCCAAGTGCTGAGATTACATGTGCCACCATACCCAGTCAGTATCTGTGTTTTGTTTAGAGAAGTGTTGTGAAACTCTGTTCATATAAATTAGTAGATGATGGACCAGTGAGATGGGTCAGTGGGTGAAAGATCTTTTCTCACAAGCCTGATGACCAGAATTCAATCTTCAAACCTGAATTCGCCTTGGTCTAAGAAAAGGGCAGAATGGCAAAAGTTCTCTGCCTCCACACAAGCATGGCACCTACCCCAGACTACATGCATGCACTTACAAACACACACACACACACACATATTTTTTTTAATTTTTGATAGATAAGATTGGAAGTTTGTTAGAGCAATGTCACTCAGATCTTCAAACATTTTTGAGACATATGCCAAAATCATAGACTACTTGATGTATAATGATTTTCAGCTGACAACCTGAAGAACAATGTTGAAGGCAAAAAACATTTAAAGCTCTGGTTTTCAAGAGGCTTATTATCCATTAATTGGAGGAATTCTTTTTAATTGATTTTCTGATTCTGTTTTGTTTTCTTTTTTAGACAAGGATCTCACTATTTAGCCCTAGACTGACCTAGAAATCACTATGTAGTCCAGGCTATTCTCAAACTAGATTCTCTTGCCTCAGTCTTCTAAGTACTAGGATAACAAGTATGGACAACCATGCCTGGGTTTACATTTGCATACAAATTACATGTTTTCTCTTGTTTTAAGCACTTCTGAAAGTTGAGGATTGAGAAGTTAATTCTCTTGGATTTCTGGTATGGTCTGAGACAGTCTACCATGTAACCCTGGTTGGTCTAATACTTATTATGTAGTCCAGGCTGGCCTCAATCTTATGGTAGTCTTCCTCCCTCTGCCTGCTGGGTGCTAGGATTATAGGAATGAGTAATTATCATAAATTTTAGTCTTGACCAAGTGTCACTTTAGTTGCTTCAGATGTATGTGAACCCCAGTTTGAAAACCGCTGCACTAGCTGCCTGGTTTACAGACTTGTACGGTTCTGTTGTTGGAGCTTCTCTGTGTGGGTCCATTTTGCCTGTGTGCTTGAAAGAGCCCACCTTGTCCTGAGTGTATCTTCCCAACCTTGCTGGCTTCTTTCTTCTACTTTGATAGACATGCAGAAAAGTAAGGTGGTTGGACCTTTTAGAGTTTTCATAATTTGACTTCCGAGCTATGTAAATTGTTTTCACAATTCAATAATATTGATCACAAATTTCTTTGTTCCTTTCTAGTTTTGTATCCAGAGATTTATCAACTATGTAGTCAAACTAGGTAAGTACCATATCTGTTTTCTGCTTTGCTGCTAAGTATAAAAGA